GTGGGTGCCTGCCTTGGCAAGGTGTTTCGTGGTCTGGTTCTTTGTGGCTTTCGTTGCCAGCTCAGCGTGAACATCTGCAAGGAGCAAATAGCACATGTCAGCGTGAGGGGGGTGGTGACTGCCGTGACTGAGACCAGGGCACTGGTGGTCCTGAGGAAACCCACCCTCACTCACAGGGACCCACAGTGAAGTGCAGGTGACCCAACCTGCTTGTTGAGGAGGTTTTGGGTTGCTTTACCTTGCTGGAAGCTTCTGACAGCCTTGTCTAAGCGTAGGGATTTGTGCTGCTGGTGCAAGAGGAAGAGGGTGTCTAACACAGCCATGATCATGAGCAGGAAGGTGCCTAAGAAGAATACCACTGCAGAACAACACAAAAACAAAGCAAGCCCATGAAAATTGGCATCAATGTATTGAATCTGTAATCCTGGCTGTGTTCAGTGGCCTGGTGGGCAAAGGGGGGGATTTCTGACTCCATCAAGCTGATAAAGTGTAGGTGTTCTTTACTTCAGTGTTTATGAAGGTGTGCATAATGCCCAAAGACCTTCCTTATGTAGGTACCTGGCTAGAAATTAGTTTTTATTCAGTAAAGATGGGTACCTATTACGGGTGGTTTGCTGGAGGAGGTTGGAAGGATGTTGTTGAGAATCACAGCTAACATGGAGCTGCCGAGGATGATGGCAATCTGGAAACTGATTTTGTCCTCGAGAGAGCTGGGTCCAAACAACACAGCCATATCCAGCAGATACAGGGCACATGTCGGGAGGATCAAGTTCAAAATGTACAGAGTGGGTCGCCTCTCCATGGAAATCTGTTGAAGAAGGACAAGTTTAAACGAGCAGGAGATGACTTACTGTGTTGGGTGAGTGCTTGCTCCCTGATGTTGAAAACTATCTTGTTTCATACATTTTTTTTCTTTTTGGTGGCAAATCAGTACAATGTAATATGAAAATACTGTCCTACCACATAGGTGACCACAGAATATACTTCGTCATCCAGCTTTTCTAAGTATTCAATGATGCTCAGGTTGGTGAACTTCCATTCTCCATCAGTTAGGAAGTAACTCTGGCTGTCCCTCATCATCTCTGCTGCTGTCCGTCTCGTCTTCATGACAAGGTCTTTTACTGCTTGGGCAGGAGGGAGAGGAGGAGAGAAGTTGTAGAGTTCAGCTATTTATTAGAGGTCAGTTATTTCCCCTCCTTTTCCCTCCCAACCAAGGACATGTACAGATGGAGAAAGGCAACGTTTCTGGCACTGTTGGGGTTTCTTAGTCCATCAGGGAGAAATTAAGAAAGGATTCTGGTGAAGAGACGGCTGGGCCTCTGGGAATGTGGATTGGAAGGGAAATCTGGTGAATTAAGACAGTTGTGCTTTGTAGGTGGGACCTGGAGGGTTTCGTGTCACCTCTGCTCCTTTTTCAGCCCTTCCTGTTGGGTTGAACTCTGACTGCAGTTTGGATCTCTGAAACTGTCCTTAAGTTCCTCTTGTTTTCATGGCTTTCAGATATGTTTAAAGATCACTCCTGCAAAATCACATGTGAATAAGTAGCCTTGCTGCAGGAAGCCTACTGATCTCTTGGTTTGTAGAGACCAGTCCCGGGGTGGGGACGTGCCGCAGAACATCCTGATGCTTCCAGAGATGTTGCTGGGAAATGTGCCAAAACAGAATTACAGTATTTTAGCTCATTTTCTCTCAACCCCACTAACCAAGTGTATGTGGTGCTGCTAAGGGAACCCAGGAGTTAGCCAGGGCCCATCTCGTCTTGTCCTCCTCCTGCAAATTTAGCCCAGCTGTGGTAAAACTCACTTGCTGCTGTACCTGGGTAGAGGAATGAAGCTATGCTCAAGTTGCACGTCTGGGTGTCAAAGGGAAACTTGAAGATCTTCAAGCTGCATGTTAGGGTGACCTGGGAGGGCTGTGTGGAGTTGAAGTTGCCATTGTGCATCACGTTCATGTAATCCAAGCTTGAGATTTGTCCGTTCACTCTGGAGAAAACAAAGGTGGAGAGTGACCGAGCTCCAGGACACTGCAATGCTCCTCAGTCCCACAGCAGCCTGGGCTGGAAGCGTCCTTTTGGGAGGCTCCACGCCATCACCCATGGGATGCAGCAGTGAGGCGAGGAAACCTGGGGCTTGAAGAAGGGCTAGTGACTGCACCTGGACTAAGGTTTGTAGTAGCTCTGGACCTCCTACCCAAACTCTGTCCTCTCTACCCTCTGTTTCCCACTCTCACCTCGGGCAGGGGCTCGTTGCTGTGCTCCAGAGCTGCCTCCTCTTCCTCCCGCCCCACCGAAACGCGAGCGGTGCTGCCCTCCCCTCTCAAACCCACAGTGCTGTCCTCTGCCTCACATCAAAGTGCTGAGGGTCGTTTCGTTCCACAACATCGCTGGTTTCTGCTGCTTCCCTGGCTTTAACTACAGCCCAGATTGGGACATTTCTGGACGTGTTACTGCATTGCAGAGCCGCAAAGTGCTTTGTATAAACTGTGGTCACCATTAATCTAAATTATGAGGTTGTTGGTTACAGTTAGCTCATAGGAACAGCTTTTAACCATCTGAGTTTATCCCATTTCCTACAACAGTACCAACAGTTTGCATCCATCATGTTTCTATTAAGTCAGTGAACAAAAATAAAAGGGGAACCTACCGCTCTAAAATGAAGATGTTGGGAGACCAGTACGTATCCGCGGGTAGAATGACTTTGGAAATGTTACAGAAATCCTGCGGGTCCCACGTTGCAAAAGTGTTTTTCCACTCCTGGGGAAAGATGTTACAGGACCAAAATGAGTGCTGGGGTCAGCACCAGCCATCGTGCTGGGCATCACAGGAGAGAAACTCAAGGGACATACCATGTTCAACACGAAGTAAAAAGTCACTGTCTGGAGCTTCTCGACCTGGAGAAACAAAAAGGAAGATATCTAGCTGGGTTTTTTTAGGTACATGCGATGCAGAGCCCAGCAGCTCTCCCCTGTTGTTCTTGCAATGGACAGCACAGGTTGCAGAAACTCGGCTCAGGAGGAGAGCTCAAGGATCTTGGTCCTAGGGCTGAAGAGAAGTGGCAGCAAATGATCCAATGGTTTGGAAAAAAACCTACCTGGATTATTGTTAACATTTACATGTTAACCTGTGCTTGGTTCAGGCTCTCCGCATGGTCGCTGCCAGAGCTTGATACAAAGAGAGCCATTTTTCTGTGCCTGTATCTGGACTTTTTCCTGGAAGCAGGTGAGAGAAAATACTCCAGATGCTCCAAAAATGCTGTCAAACAGCAGAAAGCTGAAGAAGCAGGAGGGGCTGATTCTCATCCCCGTGGCCTGGCTGGCCCAGCCCTGCCTGGCAGAGGACTCAGCCCCCCATCTAGCCATCACTCAGTTTTCTGTTATAAAGACTTGAAGGGAGTTTTGGGTCCTTACCACAGAGAGAATGGCCACCAGCATGAAATCCGTCTTCACTTCCATGGGCTCCTTCAAGTCTGTCTTGGGCAGGATGTGTTTGTGCAGCTTGCTGTGAGAGGAAATGTTCAGGTACTCAACGACATCGTAGTAGGTGCAGACGTACCTCGGAGCAGCCCCTGCTAGGAAAAAATCCACTTGGATCAGAAAAGGATCAGGCAAGATCTCAACCTGTTGTACAAAAAGAGAAAGGGCATGGAGCTGGGGATGTGAAAAGGATCATTAATGCAGGTGAATCCCTTCTCACATAGATAAAATCAGAATTCCTCAAAGCTTTTCCATCCTTCTTGAACTTACCTGTCCCAAGAGAAAAGGCGAGTA